GACCTAGCTGACCTGCTAGCAAACCAACATCAAAGCAGATTCTCAATTCTAGAATTGACGTTGCTCTCCAGCGCGGCGCGTCACGCTCTTACACCACTACCAATACCATTATCACCTTGGAGCTATGTTTAACGGAGGCCCTTGCTGATCAACACTCAGGTATGCAGGCTGTAACAGTATCTGTTGAAGACTATAACAATATGTGTAAAGTCCTGTATTTAGTTGTAGAGCTGTAGTCAATGGAGGTATTTAGTGCTAGTAGAACAGTGCTTCATAACATGATAACATTTCTGGCAACTACAACGCGGAAAGCGATTTGTTACTAAAAGGCTCTACCTCAATGTATCCTTAAAGGACCTCGAAAAAAAATTGTTTAGCTCTGTCGCAGTCCACCTGTCGACCACCAAGCGTACACAAGTGCATTCGTTGCAATCATACGCTCATCAGCTCCCTGTTCAACGATCTGAGTCAGTGCCAGCATAATAAGATAATGCGGATGATGCTTGTACTTCTGCTGAGAACAGAAGCACACTAATATCATGATAGAAGTTCCAACTTCTGACCCTGCTGCCAAGTCAAGCTCGCCGCCAGTTGGATACTTCTCAACGAGAAATCGATCGACTAACCACAGCATGTCTCCAGTATTGCCAGACAGAGTGTCGCGAAGCTCTTCGAGGTAATGCTGGTAAGATTCAGATTTGAGGGACTTCAACGTGAAAGATAATGCGTGCTTTGTCGGCGAACCCTCAAAGAACGAGACAGGGAACATCTTCTCGATGTTGGGTACGCTCATATTGCCGAACACCCAGACAGTCGACAATTCTACGTTGACAACCTCCTCCCAATACGTCGGGAATTTGCTGAGATTGGTACTCTTGCTCATAGAGAGTACGATACTAGCAATCGGTGGCGTTTCCGTTCTTAAAATCCCAAAGAAAATTGGCTTGCGGGCGCCCAGTGATTCCCCAGTGGCGTTGCGAATATCGATGCCATTAGGGACGCTGACATGCGTTAGCAATAGTAAACACAGTTTGACTCGACTGTCTTACAAGAAAAGAAGACGCTTTGCCTTTTCCTTCCTGTTTTTGGGGACAACATCCACAGGCAGCAAGACTGGCCCTTTCTCCCAGTCTTCTCCGTCACTGAGATCCTTCCAGCACCATGTTTCTCAGTATGTTCATTGGCATGTAATAAAGGTAGCTCGGGTGGAAGCAAGGGACCAGGATTGTTTTGTTGTCGGATTCCGCATCATCGTATCTCGAAAAAACAGGTACACCGAGATCCTCATCAATGACATGAGACCCGTGGCTGTTATCAAAGGCTTTCTTACTGAAGGTGCTGATGGGTGTTGTCAATGCGTAGGTTTGCTATGACTGGTCAGCTTGCACAATAACACAATCTTCATTATATATACTCTTTCCCCAAGCGGGAGGATAACCAGAGGCTTTACGGTAGTTGGGTACTAATCCAGTAGCTGTCTTGCAGCGTCGTAGTCATCAGGTTCTTCTAACCCAGGCGAAGAGATTCACAAACGGAAGAGCATGTGCGCGTGCCAATTGTTTAACAGTGTTAGGATCATACTTTGCGCCCAGTGGCTGTTCCCATAATGCGAAATGGTTGAAACAGTCCTGTATTGCAACTGCCGACCGGTTGTTGCCAGTGGAAAAAGGGGCAAGTACGGTTGTCTTCAAGCTCACTGAAATCTGAGCCAACGGTGACCAACAGAGATGTATCTGGAGTAGATTGAAGCATGGAAAGCGTACTCTGTTCAATGATTACACTCTGTGTTTGATCCCCGAATTCATACGGACTAGTAGTTGAGGGGTGGTCTTCGACGTAGACGCGAACGGCCCCTGCGTAATCCAGTACAGCTTGCGAAATTCCGTTGGAACATGGCTTTGGGGTACTTAGAAGTAAGCCCTTGCCCTCAGCACTTGTTGCGGTAGAGTGCACAAGCTTAGTATGTCCCAGACTGAGAGACGCACTATGATCTGCCTCAGTCAAGACCATACTATCCCTGCCTCCCGGCTCAATGTTGAGAGTGCCGTCACCGAACAGAGCGATCAGGACTATTTCATAAGGATCCACCTCCTTTGATGACAGGTTCAGTGTGCTCGTGATTGGACTGGCTGACTGGATCACGGCATCGGCCAAGATCTTGGGACATAAAGCGGTAATACGCCAGTAAAAGCCAACAATAGATCTTGATCCGGTGGGAAAATAGACGTCTTGAACGTGTTGGTCCCAAGGACGGTTCTTAGTCTGTCCACAATACCGGAGAGTGACACAGCTTAAGAGGGGCGCGTCCTCGAGTGTTTCTTGCTAGGTATCCAATAGCTCCGGTGTACCAAAAGCCATCAGCGACAAGATCATCCGGGACTGTCTGGAGATACCTCATCTGAATCCGGAAGCTTCTGATGTAGTAGCTGTGAACAAAGCTTCTGACATTAGTGCTAATGGGACTTGGATCCAGCAATGCTGCCATTAGCTCCCCCGGTGTAAACTCTTTGACCGGTCGGTCGAGAAGCAGCTCCACTTTTGAAACCTCGAGTGCTGGCTTATTGTCCGGTGTTGCGGGCTTGAGAGAGAGTGCTTTATTGACCAACTCTATCGGGATTCGCATTGGGCAGTTGAGCAATAGCTTCCAGATATCCTGCTGTAGGTACCTTGAGGTTGTAAGTATGAGTAGCATGTGCTATAGAATTACGATTTACGACTTTCGCAGAGCTCAGGCAATGACAGCCTCGTTCAAATGGAACGTGTCCACACTACGATTATGTAACCTCCTTCTGATAACGGAAAAGACAGCACTCCTTAGCTGAGCAGTGCTCACGTAGTCATGGTCTGGGGGTTAGTGTTAAGCTTGGCATAGGGAACGGTGCTATTATTATCTCCTTGTCGTCGGATCTTGTACGTTTAATTCGGTCCAGAAGGTCTCTCTTGACTGACGCAGCGGGTTGGAGTTGAGCTGAGCCAGGAGGACTTTAGGTCTCACCAGCAGGTGCTTAGCAACCAAGTTTATCTTTGAAGAAGCTATTGTTCACTGGCCGTATTTTCTTTCTTCTATCTTTTAGTCGGACACTTCAAACATGGTGCGAACCCAATTTATCAAGCCAGGCGGCTCCATCAATAAGGAAGGAAAGTGTCGCAGATTACTTCGTTGACAGAGGTCTACGCTCTTACACGGTAAAAATTATAGCAGCAATGAGCTTTACCGAAACGTTATTGCCAGAACCAGGCATTGTATGGGGGACAAAAAGAAGCTGTTCAGACGCAAGAGCCATATAGTGAACAAAAGGAAAAAATTAATGATGCAGTACGAGCGGGGAGGATCGAACTCCCGACCTTCTGCGCTTTTCATATGACATGTAAAGCAGACATCATAACCACTAGACTACGCTCGCATTGGTGGTGTTCATGATAAAATTTCGTAATATTTAATATATATCTTAGCAGTGCGAAAAGCGTAGCGGTCTCAGGGTCGTGGCTGACCCTTGCGGTTAGCCCCACAGCGCCCATCGAGGCGTCATTGGTTGCCTCAGTATTAATAATCATAATACTCTGGGTCGAAGTACATTTACGAAGTATGGGAGGGCGCTTCTAAGACTGTTCAACGAAACGATGACCCTCGATGCAAGAAAAGGGCCTACTAGTCACGTGGATTCGCCGGCGTAGTTGCTCTGGTCTCTATCGCTACCGCTGCCTGCATGGCGAATTAAGCAATCACAGCTAACTGCAAATCGAAAGACCAAACTCAACTCTAACATCTTTTGAGGTAATGCCGTAATCCTCAGGGCATTCAGCATGGTGTGCAACGTCAAAGAGTTCAACCCGCGTTTGCTCTTTCATCTTCTCTTCCGCTTACGAGCACTCAGATTTGCTCAAGGAACGGTTTCGCAGTCTCGAGAAGAAGAAATCTACGAACATTCACATACATGAATGACAGGCTGGCAAACACAAGGGACGGCTATAATGCACATTCCCGCAGCCTTTTCGTACATACAATTAGCTTGTGTTAGGAAGTGGCAAGGCCTGCTGAACGCCTCCTTGTTCTCTGGTAAGGCTTGCAAGCAACGTGCAATGATTACGCTTTGACTGCCACGCGCCCCATAAGTGTGATTGCAAGAGTGACGCACTGCTCAGAATGCAGATAGCTATCGAATTGCGCCTTGTTCCGCATCACAGCGACCAAGGGTGGCGGAGCCTTGCCGCATCTGGGCTTGCAATAAACACCACAGCATCAAAATTGAGCAAGGCAACATTAGCCACGCGAAGAATAATCTCAAGCTGTGTATATACTGATTGAATAAATCCTGCATTTTCTTTTGGGTTACAGACATTGTGCTGGAGAGAGTGCACCTTTCGGCGTTGTTGATGTACTCGCACCACGGGCAGTCTTGGCAATTTGCACATCAGCCTTGAAGTGATCCATCTATTCATCCTACAGCATGTTTGACGCGGCGCATAAACATCATTTATATAGAACAAAGACTACTCAACACTTTCTTCGAACGATACAACAAGAGATCCTCCGCACTGCATTGTGGGTTTCTTACACATGTGCACGTGCACGTACTGATCCTACACCATGAAGTTATCAATAAGCCGTATTCAAGAACAACATCGCCATACGAACAGACAACCAAGCGACACTAATTCTGAAAATCAAGATCTCGTCCAGCTCAGAGAGCTGGAATTGTATGATATATGAAGAGTATCTCCTTAAAGTACATAGTTACACTTGGTAGATATTGTGATGTTTTTATTAGTGCGTACAGGAAGCAAGAGAACCTGTCATATCGCTAGGGCGCCTCTACCCCCCGCACAATGTTTCTCACACTGTGTGAACAAATTTTTAGCGCCGCAGTTTTTGGCCAAGTGCTGGGACTAGTGTGTTGTGAGTTGTGGGAACTCGCAAGCGCCCGTGGGCCAGGAGCTTAGATATTTGGGTTTACGTTATATATCACAAATTTCAAAACGATCTCATCAAATCTACTATAGGTTGTATGGTGTAGAGGTTATCACTTCAGATTTTGATTTATTCAAAAATTCTGGAAACCCCGGTTCGAGTCCGGGTACGACCTGATTTTTGCCGATACTGTGACCCAGAAGATACAGATAATATTCCGCCTACCAAGGTCAGGTTGAACTCTGAATTTTGGTAAGGGTATCGACTGTTTTTTTCTTTTCTTTTTATTCAAAGGCTTGTCCATCTAGACGCACTGGAGCTTCATACAGACTGACACACGAGCCGAGCGTTGTGGCTTAGGGCACGTTGAATAAGTAAAGGGGTTGAAAAGCTGTAACGGCTTGATGCAGGTTTGTATATAGTATTTCTTGTCCTCACTCGAACCTTAAATATGAGCAGCATTAGAAGGCATTACAAGCAATAGTTACAGGCTATATCAAATGGTGACATCGCCCGTCCATTCCTCAGAATCGTCCTCAAGACCGTTAACGCCGGTGCGCACGGGCCAGCATAGCTGCTCCACCAAAAATTCTATGGAAGAAAGCTCGAAGGCCCACGACAAGCACAAACACGAACACAACGCCGGCGATGCTCACCGAACAGTTTGTGGCCGCCATTTCTGGCTCCACGAAGCCTAACACCGGCGTTACTAAGGACCAGGGGATCTTCATCCACGAATTCCAGCCCTTGGCCGCACAACGACAGGTTCTGAAGAAGAGCGCGACTGCTCAGAATGGCATCGCTATAAGCAGCACACATATTTTCGCCGCGCAGGCTGAGAAGGCCATTGTTCATGTATACAACAGGGAGAAGGGCAACCAGGAAGCTGTTGTGCCCTTTCCAGAGCGGATACACAGTATTGCGCTCGCGGCGCAGGATACAGTACTGCTGCTGGGAGCTGAGAGCGGAAGAGTGCTGGCTTGGGAGGTCAGTCGAGCCTTAAAACACGTATATAGGAACATAGTGCTAATTTATAGCACAGATCTGCTCAGGTCGTCTCGTTTCCACGTCTACCTCTCACCTTCAGCCTGTGACGTCTCTCGTTGTCGATCCATCCTCCAACTTCTTCCTCTCTGGTTCTGCAGACGCCATGATTCATATATGGTCGCTACCTTCCATCCTCTCATTCTCGCCAGATACTTCTCGATCCCCTGTTCATACCCTTTCTACCCACCGTGGACCTGTCTCGTCGATAGCGTGTGGACACAGCTCCAGCACTGCCAACATCGCGGTGTCTGTATCAGGCGACAAATCAGCTATCGTATGGGACTACCACAATGGACAGGCCCTTCGCACATACCTGTTGCCAGAGACACCTACATCAGTAACCCTTGACCCAGCCGACCGAGCATGCTTTATTGGGTACGCCGATGGCAGTCTGCAGACAATTGATTTCTACGACGAGGTACAGAAAACCACGTCCATTGACGTCCTGCGAGACAGTTCGTCTTCGCATAGACCCATGCAGCCTCCGTCGAAGACAAGGTTTGGGGCTGATTCACAGAAACTCGGTGCCACACTCGCTCTCAGTTTGAGTTGGGATGGCACGTCCCTACTCTCTGGACACAGTAGCGGACACATTGCTGTCTGGGACGTCGCGAAGAGCAACTTTCTTTCCAAGCTCGCCAATCTACCTGGGCCAGTGACCAGCCTGCACTTCCTGCGCCCTACAGGTTTCTCAAACACCACTGAACCCGGCTTCAAGATCCAGACAATCGTCAAACCGAAACAGGATGCAGGCCTCACAGGCAGCAGCAGTGGATTGGTCCCGTCGAACTACAACCTGTCCATGCAGTTCACAGGTAGAGTGAACGCACCAGCCATATCGGCTACAGCGAGACGACCCGCCAAGACAAGCTCGTTTGCAGAGGCTCTCACTCATCCCAGTTTTCCGACCAGCATGCTGGAAGACAGCCTCACGGAATTGGAGTCATGGGTTGCTCCATCTAAGGCAAACAACGCTTCAGCAGTAAGCGCCACGGTACCGAGCCAAGATGATAGTGCAGAGCAGCCGGACACTGTCAGCGAAGCATCCCAGGACGAAGTCAAGGAGCTCAAGAAGCAGCTCGCCAGCCTGCAGCGCATCCAAAAGGTCACGTTCACACAGCTCTCGGAGTTGCGCGAAGAGAAAGAATACCTGCTGAAAAAAGAGAAGGATCGAGCGGATCGCGCGTAGGTGAAAAAAGAAAGAGGGTTCCGCCAACGGGGATAACAACGTGAGATTGAGCAATAGCGGTGAGGACCTCAATCCATAATGGACCCAGATACTCGGGTTCGTGGCCCCGAGAATCTCATATGCTGCGGATCTATGCGACGCAAAAGGAAAATGAAGCAACTCGATGATAGCTCTGCGTTGGTCAGCCGATCATCTCGAACGGTTGAGCCACAAGATTTGTACCACGTCGATGCATGGAACTGCGTATCGCTAAGTGCCTTGCGGGCACGGGGAGATCAGATTGATGGTTCGAGACCATGACATGTTACAAACGCTCCTCTCCTCACCATTCGCTGGGCCCGCTCAAGCAAAGCGCAGTCGATGTACATCAGGTATTGGATGGGGACCTCCCTCAGTATTGAACGGCGACCCCAAAGACCACACTCCGCGGCACCCACAAACTTTGCGCGCGAAGCTTCAGCTCTCGAACTCTCATCGCCCACGAAAAGCGGGGTAGCCGCCTTGTACAGACCAGAAAAGGTGTGCCCATGGTGTCCAACGTCACGCTCGGGTCTGTGGCATGCTGCATCGCGGGACAAACAAAGCATCAGACGCTGCGGCTACGCTCCTCAGCAACCTCCGCTCAACGACCACAAGCCGCTGCGGTGCGACGGTGGGGTGTGTGTTTGTGTGGAGCGCGCTGATAACTCGTGCCGCTTGCGACCCGGAGGGTATGGTTCGTGGGCAGGGCGTGAGGAGGTCCTCGACGCTGTACCACCGGTGGCTTTCCGCAGCGACTGCTGCCGCTTCGGGCGCCAGGCTCGGTGCGCTGCAGCGGTGTGCGAACGGGTGCAGGTGCTCGTACCGTCTGGGTGCGTTGCAGCAGCGCGCGCGCCCCCGTCCTTTTTGCATAGAGATAGATGGCCATTACACAGCCGCGAGCAGCGAGCGTGCATGAGCGTCGAGGTTCGAGCGTTCCCCAGTCTCGCAAGAGGGAACATAGGCAGACGCAGCTTTTTTTTCGCTGCATGTCCCAACGGCTGTATGTACCTATCCGTGCAACCATCCCCCCCCCCGTTCAATGTTCCATGTACTGCTACAACCCACACAAGAGAAAAAAAAAGCCAAGATAGACTTCCTATACTGATCGTCCTGACCCCTCCCCTCTACCCCCCCCCCCCCCCCCCCCCTCCCCCCCTCCCCCCCCCCCCTCCCCCCCACCACATGAGCTCCCGACAGAGGGCCCCGGGCCAGCGCGCCCGCGCGTCGTGGGCGGGTGGCGCGCGGTGGGCGGGAGTGGGCGTATGTAAGAAGAGGAGCGGGGAGACAAAGAAAGAAAAGGAGAGAGAACAAGAAGAAAAAGAAAAGAGAAAAAAA